TGAATGAAACACAGTGTATATGAATTATTGCATGCAAAATAAAAAGAGCAAGGATATCATGTTAAAGACCAAGGTGCACCTGAACCAAGGCATGGTCTTTTCAATTGCTTTTTAAACATCTGAAAGTTGTATAATGAATAAGGATGATGGTAGACTCATCTATGCCTTAGAGTTGTGGTATTGGAGAGGAGCCCTGAACTGGTCAAAGAGCAAGCAAGTCTATCTATTGGAGGAAGTGCAGCCAGGGTGCTGCTCCTCAGCGGAAGAGATGGTGAAATTTGGTCTCACATGCTTTGCATCAGGAGGGGACAATCCTTAGAAAAAGACATCACGCTGGGAAAGGTGGAGGGTCAGAGGAAGAGAGGAAGACCTTCAACAAGATGGACACAGTAACTGTATCTCTGGGCTCTAACGTGTCAGACGTGAGGATGGTGCAGGAAAGAGCAGGGTTCAGACCTGTTCACACTCGACTAGATGGTACCTAACAACAGTCTACGTGAAGCGGGAGCCGTGCTGCTTACTCAAAGGTCAGACCTCTTAGATGATTCGAATCCACTAGTGGCTCGGTAGGAGAATGATAAGAAATCTCTCTTCTTACGATTTACATTCTCAGTTGAAGGGTCAACTATAAGTCAGTTCTACTGGACAATGAACTTCAATTTAAAGGAACTTGAGTTTGAGGGAGCATTGAGTGGCTGAGGATACCAGATGGGAGGAGCGAGTACTCCAAGGCCCCTCCCCTTGCTGCCTAAATGTCCACCGGGGAGAGGAAGGGCAGACCCTAGAGTCGGGGGGAGGGAGTGGGGGAGTGGAGGGATGGAGGGGGTGGGAGGTGTGGAGAGGTTGGAGGAGCGAGGCTGAAGTCAGGATTGGCCTCTAGGGCTGGAAGCCTCCTGCCTTTGTGTTAGAGGGGTGGGGCTTCCCCGGGTTAGTTGGGGGTGGAATTAGGAGGGATTGGTCTGTGAGGAGGGGCGGGCCTCATGGGCGTGGCCGTCCGCAATGGGCGGGACCCCGTGCATCCAGCCGCGTGGAGGAGCGCCTCTGTGCTGAGTGGACCTGGCCCGGTGTAGGGGTGGAGGAGCGTGTCCGTGCTAATGGGGCGGGCCCCCTACAGTGGGCGGGGCCGTCCGCAGTGGGCGGGGCCCCATGAGTCTACAGCTTGTCAAAGGGTGGGGTGGAGGAGCGCGTCTGTGCTGAAGGGGCGTGGCCTCTCCACTGGACGGGGCCATCCACAGTGGGTGGGCCTGTGCGTCTAGCAGCCTGGACTGCCTATTAGAAGGGCGAGGGTGGAGGAGCGTCTCTATGCTGATAGGGCGGGGCCCCTCCAGTGGGCGTGGCCGTGCGCAGTGGGCGGGCCCGTGAGTCTAGCGGAGCGGACTGCCTATTAGAAGGGTGGGGATCGAGGAACGCGTTTGCGCTGATGGGGCGGGGCCCTCCAGTGGGCGTGACCGTCCACAGTGGGCGTGGCCGTGCGTCCAGCCGTGCGGACTGCGCAGGCGTCTTACTCGGGAGGCGGAGGCGGAGGCGCGGAGGGAAAGATGGAGGACTTCCAGACTTCCGAGGAGGTGTTTAACCGTCCGGTCGGCGGGAGGGTGGGCGGGGAGCGCGGGGCGCGGGCGGCGGCGGAACTCAGGGCTCGTGAGGCCGCCCGCCGGTGCCCCGGGAGGTGAGGCCGCCCTCCACCGCTCGCTGGCCCTAGCCACGCTCACTGCAGCGGCTTCGGTCCGGGGCCCGTGTCTCCAGCGGCGCCCACTGCGGAGCCCGGCAGGGCTGCACTTCACCCGGGTTCTCAGCGGCGGATCCGGGGCGGCGGACTCTTTCCTCGGTCGGCCGGGAGGCGAGAAGGTGGCCCCGGGAGGGTGACATCACTCAGCAGTCCACGGCCAAGGGGCGCGGGGCCGGAGCCGCGCGTGCGCCCCGGGACTCTGCGCGGTGGCGGGATCGATGACAGGGGTCATCTCCTCTCCATCAGGGCCTGATCGCAGGGGTTCCCGCCCGCCTGCTCTCTCCACCCCGGCTGGCTCGGCGCTCTTGTCGGCTGAGTTTGCAGAGTCAAGACCGACACTCCTGGGGGACAGCAGCCTATTAGCTCTCCAGGGAGGAACCGGGGCGCACCCAGCCCTGCTCCCCTCCTCGGTCAGGCTCGCGGCCTCGGGGCCAGTAGCTAATGGGTGTACCAGAGTAGCGCGTTTACTTCACGTTGGAGAATTCTTTCTGAAATGGCATTCGAGAGCCCTGTGTGTACTACAACCTGGCAAACAAAAGCTTTGTAGCGTTTGATCTTTGAGGTTGACAGAGTGATTGCAGCAGTGGGTTGGGCTCAGCAGAAACGGTGAAGACGGTGCAGGATGGGCGGGATTCCTTCTGTTGTCCGCAGGGTCACTATGAGACCCAGCCGGCTCCATGGCACCCAGCAACAATAAGCACGCGCAAGAGTGACTTGCCTGCAACATGCCTTGTAAGGCCTAGGGGCAGAGCCGGGGTTTTCAATGATCAGATCCCCAACTAGCACACACAACATTGTTCTCCAGGGAGGAAATGAACGTTTGAATGCTGATGGCAAGCGTGTATTGATGAGAAGACATAGGGGCATTTTACAAAGGAAGGGCATTTCTCCATAAACTGCCAACTCATACAGCATTGGGAAGTGATTGTGTGATAGGAAATAAAGCTTTAAAGGGAGATGGCAGGGTGAGAGAAAGCCTTCTAGTGCAGGCAGCACTCCCCCCATGAGGGTGCTCATTGTTCCCGATCTCCGGAGGGGGAAGGGCTGAGTGCAGTGGGCTGTGGCTAGCTGTCCTGCCGCAGGCATGCGATGGGCATTTACCAGCCATCCAGCCAGTCCTGCCGGCTCTGAACAGTGCCTTTTCTGCACACCCTCCGATGTCACAGAGATTTCTGGGTGTTTGTGACTCTGCTTCCAGCTACATCATCTTTCCAGGGAATGCTGAGGTAGCTGGGTTTGGGGCACGTCTGTACTTCCTTCCCATTGTTGTCGTGGGGTCTGGTGAGCTCGTTCTGACTCTTAGCCTCCCAGGGTACCAGGAACTGGAAGGCCATTTGGTCCTGCACCCAGCACACCGTCCCTGCAGCGTTAGAGAACCTTCCCACTAATCAGTAATGGAAGTGATCCCCACCTGTTCTCATACTTTGTGGTTGATGGCAGCTGCCCTGTCAGGTCAGCTCTGATACCCGCGGCCCCAGGTGTGCTGACTGGAGCTGCTCCACAGGGTTTCGAAGGCTGTGGCCATGTGGAAACAGATGACCTGGCCTTTCTGCAAGGTGCCTCTGAGTAGTTAAGTAGAAAGCTGTACCATGACCTTCCTTTCTAGGTTCGGGCCCTGTGGTCACTTGTAAATACCAGAGTGACTGATGCACTCTACGTCTTTCCTTGCACCTGGGAGTTGGCTTTGGCCCCTTGAGAAACTGCAGGTGGGGTGACTTCAGGGCTTCTCTGTGCTTTGATGAGAGGGGCCATGCCCACCACCCTCCACTGAGGCTTTCTCCTTGGTAACTGGGCAGAACAGTGCCCACCTGGTGCCTTCCATAGCAGCTCAGTGCCCTGGGGACCCTCCTTTGCCTTGTCAGAGCACCATGCCAGAGCAGGGCCTGGCTGGTTTATTGGCCCACAAAGGGCAGCCGAATGCCCTGGGGCAGTCACCATCTGTGGGCCAAGTGACCTGGACCCGGCCTTCCCTGGTCCCAGGACTCGGTCACGTTGTGCACGTGGTTTTCTTGTACAGAAGCATCTTGGCAGGCGAGTGCCGGAGAGTGATATTTTCAGCACTGTCACACCCACTTCTATTTACTATATGAAAATGGAAAAGAAGAAGGGACCCCCCTGAACTAACGCCTGGCCGAGCACCGGCTCCCTCTAAGTGGTCTGGCTCATTCACTGAGCCCTGTGGGCTGCACATCCCCAAGGCAGGACAGTATCAAGGCAGAAAAACTGTGGTCAGGTGTAAGCCACTAATGTGTGCCGTGGGGTCAGGGCCAGCTCATCTCTGACCCTCCAGAGGGTTTTCAGAGTCAGTAAATACATAGCACAGGAGGAGATTGCCCATCCCCACAAAGCAGATGGTGGATTTGAACCAGCGCAGCCTCTTAACCACTAGGCCACAAAAAGAATCTAAAGGAAAGCCCTCAAGCTCAGAGCCTCCTAACCATTCTCCTTCAGGGAAGAGTCAGCTACATCTTGAAATGCATCCTCCTGCTTCACTCCCATCTGGAAGGTGAGGTGACACCAAGCTTCCACCTTGTTACCCCTGCAGCCGGCCGGCTGAAGTGGGTGGAGGTTGCAACCTTGTTCAGTGGAGTCCGTCTTTTGAATTGTGGTGTCATTAAAGCATAAACAGAATACTTGCGCTACTGTGCTCCCGGACGGCTGTCACGTTACCATCTGACCTCCCAAGACCCCCTAGTGCTTCCAGGCCACACTGTACAGTGTCCATCCATCCACACATGAAGTCTGGTTTCTGGTTAGATGCTGTCTGCAATCATTTCTAAATTCTGTTCGCCACCCAGGTGTGCATTAATCAATAGGGTGGCCACAGATCTTTTAAACACCTCAAATTTAATGTATTTTTTTTTTTGTTCACAGACTGCATTCGTTGTTGATGAAGTGAGCAACATTATAAAGGAGGTAAGAGAACGCTTACATGTGAAATGTTTGGTTAATGGCTTATATGAGTGGAAATAATATGTTTTAAATACTTTCTTGGAATTGTTTCAGCTGAGCCTGTGTTTTGGCATTTGAAATAACAGTATTTACTTGAATGAGTGTAGATACAAATTACTCCCATATTATGCAAATTACATCTTTTAAACCAGATAAGAAGTTACATATGTAGCAATATTACTGAATGTTGCTGCTGTTGTTATGTGCCATGGAATTTGTCTGTGACTCATAGTGACCATTAGCTCAGAAAGTATCCTGAGCTAATCTCATCATCTCCTACACACATACCCCCATTGCCTCAGTCACTGAGTCAATCTATCTCATCCGGGGTCTTCCTCTCCTGCTTTGTCCCTCCACCCTTCCAAGCATGTTGTCCTTCTCTAAGGACTGTTCCCTACTGGCCACGTGCCCAAAGTATGTCAGATGGAGCTTTAAAATCCTTGCTTCCAGAGAGCCCTGAATGTTACTGAAGTTTAAATCTATAACCTTCGAACACAAAAACTCTATAGATACACACAAAAAAATTGTTTAGTGTTTAAAGGAGAAAGTATGAATATTAGTATCCAAAAACCAAACAATGTCCAGTTTTCAGAGGCAGTCTTGTTTGGGACTTCTTTGATTGTCTTTTATGCCCTAGCAAAACTGTCCGCATTATTGCAGTTGCTCACGGGTATCTCCTTTAGAGGAGCATAGGAGACACCAAAGGGGCATATTTGTTCTTCATTCATTCAGTCAGTGCCCTGTTCTGACCAGTGAGCAGAGCAGGTGAAGACCTGGCCTCCAAAGGCATGGTGGCAGACGTCAGCTATCACACCGGTGAACGTGACATTGCATTCTCTGTGTGCCCGGAGGACGTGCTGGGGCATGTGACCCAGGTGACACAGTGGCTGCAGCAGTGGGCAGCAGCACAGCTGAGACGTGAGGATGTACAGGATTGGGCATGATTTCTTTCTGCTGTTCATAGGGTCACTGTCAGAGCCAACTGCAAGGCACCTCATGTCAACACTGAATTCAGGGACTGTTCAGAGCGGGTGATCTACAGACTGAAAAAGAATAGGGTTAGCTCCGTACAGAGAAAGGGGACAGAGTCCTGGCCATGCGCAGCATGTGCAAAGGCCCTGCGGTATGAGGGCACAGAGTGCATGTGAGGGTGGAAAGGCAGCCCCTGAAGTCTGGCGTCATAGAATCAGAGATGTGGGGACAAGAAGGAAGTCGGCATAGTTTCCCTCAGCATTGTCACTACAGACAGTGATTCCCTCGGCCGAGTCCTTAGGTGATCGGAATTTAACAGCACAGTTTGAGGGTCCTTGGTTTAAGAATGGAGTCAGCTTGGGTTTAGTGGTGTCTGAACCCTCTAACTTCACAAGAGAAAAGGATTTCCAGGAGCAGCAGCAGCAACCTGAGGTCACTTTCTGTAAGGTCAGACATGCTCCACGATCTACATTGCTCTTCTAACCCTGACTCCAGCCATCTCTCCAAGGTACCCACTGTTTCTCCAGTGGGTTTAGAAATTCTGTACAGCGGCCACTTAGAACTTATCAGCCATGTCCATGATCCTGGGCTTTACTAGAGAAGTAACTGGTCACAATTCAGGATCAGGAACAACTCAGGATACAACTCTTCAGTCAGAACGGCCACTCTTCAGCCACGTGCAGAGGCAGGCCCCACCGGCCCTCGGCCTCCTGACCTGAGCCTCTGCCCTGCTTGGGCCCTGAGTGTTACAGAGCTCTAACTGCTGCAACAGGTGCTCCAGCAGCATCCCACTCCCCAGGACCTCCAGGCACTTTGGAAACCCAGCTCCCTGATGATGCCAAGAGCCACTCTCTCTGCCAGTGAGCACCTGCCCTGAAGGCTCTCGGCTTTCTCATTCTGGCCAGGAGCCCACAGCTCTGCCTCAGGCATCTGCTGCCTCAGCTGCCGCTGCCTCATGGTGTCTCTGTGGTGTCACCACAGTCTCCTGAATTGAGGTGTCTCAGGCATGGGTTGTGAGTGTGCTTCGCCGTTCTTGATGGTAGTCGTATGGACCCCGTTTTCTCCTTTTGCACCTGGTGGGATGGCAAACCTGACCAGTCCCCACCTTAGTGTTCTCCACACCCTATCTGCATGGTCCCACCAACAGGAGTGCAGTATCATGCAAGCAAAGTATCAATGAAGATGAACCGAAACCCGAACATTGACAGAGAACTGCTAGAAGTTCAAAGTGGGTTTAGAAGAGGCCACGACACCAGCTGATGTCACATGGATCCTGGCTGAAAGGAGAATAGCAGAAGAATCTCTGTCTGTGTTGTATTAGCTATACAAAAAGCATTTGATTGTGTGGGTCATAACAAACTATGGCTAACATTGAGAAGAAGGGGAATCCTGGAACACTTAGCTTTGCTCATGCAACACCTATTCCTAGAACAAGAGGCTGTTGTCTAAATGGATCAAGAGAACACTGCACGGTTTAAAATCAGGAAAGCTAGAAATCAGGGCTGTGTCCTTTCTCCATGCCCTGCCAGTCTCTATGCTGAGCAATCATTTGAGAAGTTTGGCTCTATGAAGAAGAATGTGGCATGAGGATTGGAGGATGACTCATCACCTGCCTGTGTTATGCAGATGACACAACCTTGCTTGCTGAAGGGGAGGGCACTTGGTACAGAAGATAAAGGACTGCAGCCTTCACCATGGATTTATGTCAACATCAAGAAGACACACGTCACCACCACTGAGCTGGTAACAACATCATGATAGATGGAGAGAAGACTGAAATTGTCAACGATTTCATCTTACTTGGATCCACAGTCAGCATTCTTGATACCAGCAGGCAGGCAGGTCAGGTGACATACTGCATTGGGAAAGTCTGCAGTCAGAGACCTCTCCAGGTTACTGAGGAGCAGTGATGACAGTGTGAGGACTAAGGTGCGTCTGACTTGGGCCATGGTCTTCTCAATCCCTTGCTGTGCATCTGAGAGCTGGACAAGGAAATAAGGATGATGGAAGAAGAATTGATGCCTTTGAGCTGTGGTGTTGGAGAAGAGCCCTGAACATCCCATGGACTGCTAAAAAAACAAAAGATTGTGTGTTGGACAGAGTGCAGCCAGAATGCTCCTTGGAGGCAAGGATGGCAAAGCTTTGTCCCACACAGCGTGGGCAAGTCGCTGAGAGAGGTTCTTCTTGGAAAAGGACATCGTGATAGGAAAGTAGTGGGTCAGTGGAGGAGAGGGAGACCCCAACCAGAGGGAGTGTCACAATGACTGCAGTTAAGGACTCAGGTGCGTCAGATGATGAGGACGGCACAGGGCAGGACAGGACTCAGCTCTCATGTCTCTGAGTCCTACTCAACAGCACCTAACAAGAACCACCCCACAAGGTGCCTTGGGTATGTCAGCAAGCGGTCCGGCCCCCGAGGTGGGCCACAGACACCTTCCGTCTGCACAGCCCTCCCCAGTCCCTGGTGGGCATTGCAGAGACCGTGGCTGGAAGGGACTGGTTGCCGCACACCTGGTAATTTAGAGGTGACACTGCTGTGTGTGGTTACTAATACAGAGCGCTGGCTTTAGTGCCACAGGGGTAAGGAACTGCAGCCGTTTTTTGAACTAAGCAGGATTTTCTGGTTTCCCATACACTTCACGCAACTTCAGTCTGCTCCCATGTTGGGTTTTCTTCCTAAGCAGGCCTCTGGGTCGGCTGCAGTGGACGGTGGGTTTGATGGAGTTTGCGGTTAGAAAGCTGAGCGAGGCCTCCTGGTTTTCTGCTCTGTTTGGTTACCTGGTTCAGCTGCAGCTGGAAGTCCAGCTTCTGGTCCACTTGTAAACGTGGCCAGCCTTGCCAGGCTGCTTTCCCCGCGCTCCCTCTGGCCTGCAGGAGGATTTTGCCCCTGGCAGCACATTAGTTCTCAGTTAATGCTCAGATGTTTCTGTATTGGGCCGTTGTAGGTTTGTGAGAACTGGGTGAGGGATCCTCCCTTCCCTGAAAACAGGACGCTCGGAGGCGTGTGCAAGAGAGTTCCCAGAGCGTGAGGATTCACTATCAAAACTAAGGCTGAAGCTGGTGAGGGGCCTCGCTTGACTAGTTTTAAACGTTTGTTTCAGCATTGATCACCTCTGATGACACCCTGCTCTGGGAGGATAGTGGTCCCTCAAACCAGGGCCTTTCTGAGCCCTTTGCTGGTCCCGGGCTGACGATGGGGAGAGGCTGGGGTGTGAGGCTGGCAGGCTGCAGTGTGTGAGGAGGAATGGTCAGGCGGCCCCGGCCCCGGAGGTGGTCTGGAAACGCGGGTCCTTCAGGGCTCATACTTGTCCTGGACTCGATACGGGAGCTGCAGCGGGCGTGAGGAGGACTGGCCAGGCAGCTCCTGCTCCTGGAGGCGGTCGGGAAACCAGGACACCCTTCCCAGCAACACAACGGTCATTTGCTGTTGAGAAGGGGCAGCTGGTGCTGGAGAACGCCCCCCCACCCCACGCAGAGTGCGGCCGGCAGTCAGCTTCCACGGCCCCGAGTCTCAGGCCAGCTCCCCGTCAAGAAGGCTGCTGTGTCATCCTCAAACTGCCCACCTTTTACCAGCCCAGCATTAACCCGCTAAGTCACCAGGGTTCCTGGGCCGACACCCAGCAGCCAGCTGCTGCGACCACGTCGATGCCAGCTCACGGTAACCCTCCGTCAGGTGTCCCGAAGTGGCCCGTCTCCTGCAGAGTGGATGGACGGGGGATTCAGGCCACCAGCCCGTAGGTCAGCCCTCGCCCGCTGTTCCACCAGGACTCCTGTGCTGTGGCCACTGTCAGTGGGACCACTGGACATTCAGGATGAGTTAGAGGGTCTGCCAGGGAGTATGGTCACTTGAGTAGCCCCTACATCAGATGCGCCCTCACTGACCACTTCCTGTCCACATCCGGGGCTTCTCCACGCCTGAGAAGAGACTTTGCACCTCATGGGATTTTTCCTTTCAGTCACATCATCCTAGAAGCTGTTTTCGGGTTGGTGGCCGAGCCTGGGAGCCTTGGTCAGCATGGTGCAGCTCTGCCAGGGTGCCCACCTGTGACCAGAGGGAGGTAGAACCCACCTGACGGTGCGTTTGAGCTTGAGATTTCAGAGTACAGCGTGTTAGGTGGCTTAGTGGGAAGAAGCTGCACTGCGAACCCAAAGGCAGGCTGTTCAAATCCCCCAGCTGCTCCCTCATCTCCTCTGAGAACCCGCTGGAGGGTCAGCTACGGGCTGGTTCCCACTTGACAGTTAATGTACATCAGAGGAGGAGGCTGAGGTCAGCACTCAGTATCAGTGGAGGGAGCAGCCCGGGAACCACGGTGGGACCGGGCGGGGACCCCGAGGCTGAGCCGGAGGGACCTGGGGCCAGGGAGACCGGACAGATTCAAATGGCACCTTGCGGAGTCCTGAGCGGAAAGCCCAGGACAGCACCGAGATCAGAGGGGGCGTAACAAAGATGGGAGTCACCACAGACGGAGATGAAGCTCCGAACGGGTCCGGCTGTGCTGCAGGGACCTGGTGCGTGTGGACCAGGGACCATCGTTCCCAGAAGGCATCTCTGAATCTGTGATCTGGCTGGGTCTGTGCAGGAAGGGAGTGGCCAAAGGAACCCCACTTCCTAGCCTCACCGGGGAGCACGGGTACAGCTTTCTGCTGGAGTAACAGCAGCGGGGACGTCAAGTCCAATTGTTAGGTCACAGTTCTTTTCAAACCGTGGCCGCCTGTGGTCTGGGTGCTCAGGAGCGCTGCTGCGCCGTCGGTAGACTTGAGGCTCTGCTGGTGTCGGCAGTCCCGCGGACAGTCCTGTGCTGACCGGCTGTCATGGCCCTGTCTTGCAGGCGATCGAGAGCGCGATTGGCGGGAACGCGTACCAGCACAGCAAGGTCAACCAGTGGACCACCAACGTGGTGGAGCAGACGCTGAGCCAGCTCACCAAGCTGGGCAAGCCCTTCAAGTACATCGGTGAGGGCCGGGCCTCCCTGACCGCAGTCAGGGAAGGGGAGTTCCACACTGAAATGCACAGCGCAGCACAAACCCACAAAGGGGAGGGGCACAGGTTCAGGCCCACCATCTGCTTCAAGGGCCGAGCTGTGGTGGTCAGCTCCCAGATGGGTTACAGCCTCTGAAACCTTACAAGGTGGCTGTCCTCTGGCCTGTGAGGTCACTGAGCCTGAGTGGTGGTCACGGGGGAGAATAGCTGGGTGGCGTTCTGGGGGAACCACAGGGTCAGTTGTCAGGCCTGTTCAGCGCTGCAGGGTCCATGCCAGGAACTGTCACCGGGAGGGGACCTGGTGGGAGGGGACAGCTGGCCCAGTCTTCCCTGTGCACATCCTCCGTGTGGTGTGGTGTGGCGTGGTCTGCACACGGGCTGCACGGGGCAGAGGGGCGCACGTCCCCACGTGGGGTGAGCACTAACGGGCCCACTTCTCACTTCTGGTGCAGTGACCTGCGTCATCATGCAGAAGAACGGGGCCGGGCTGCACACGGCCAGCTCCTGCTTCTGGGACAGCTCCACCGACGGTAAGGGCCCACTGGGGTCGCTGCTGGGGCCTTCCGGAGCTACTTCACCCCGCAGAGGAGCTGTCGGATCCTGTCTGAGGACACTAATTTCCCACTAAAACAAGCCAGAGAGAAGTGGTGGGGGTGGAAAAGTGGGGAGCCCCAAACAGTGCTGGAGAGGAGAGCCTCCTCCTGGTTCCCTGTGTGGGGCAGTGTCCACATGGCTGAGGGCACAGGCACCCCCATCTTGGGGTGCTCACACAGGAGCCCCAGCCTCCGTGCGCCCCAGGCCCTGCTCCTGAGCCCTCTCTTCCCGCAGGGAGCTGCACTGTGCGGTGGGAGAACAAGACCATGTACTGCATCGTCAGCGCCTTCGGCCTGTCTATCTGACACTCGCCCTCCTGTCCACGCGTCCGTCCTCCCACCACCAGCCAGGAGCTCAGTCCACATCTTTCTTTCCACGTGTTTTTGCCGTGCTCTGCGGACGCAGAGAGAACACCAGAGAGGTGGTCCCGCGGGCACCTTCCCGGGCCGCCCCTCGCGTCTTAACTCTGCATATTTCTTTTCAAAGGTGCTAAAACTGAAATCTGCTCGTGTGACATTTTCTCTACTCTCTCAGATGATTCAGACACACTGATTTTCCACACTTTGTACTTTTGTTAGGATAATAAATTATTCCAGTTGCAAGTTGGCAGCTTCCTCTCTCATGTGGCTCCTGGACCCTCAGTGTTTGTCTGTTGATGGGGCATTTCCGCCTTGCTCTTCTGCGTGGTGACCCATGCATGTCACCCCTGCACCGTCCGGGCTGTCACCCCGCCTGGGCCGTCACCCCGCCTCTGACGCTCCCACTGGCGCCCGCGCTGACATGGACAAGCAGGGACAGATCAGGGCCCAGGTCAGTCAGAGGACAGCTCCCCTGCCTCTGTGCATCACTTTGTGGTTTACAAGAGGCTCTCCCCGCCCCCCATCTGTGTCACACAGTTGGGCCACTATTCAGAACCAGAGAACGTGTCTGCAAGTTACCACATGTCCCAGTGGGGGGAGCAGACCCTGAGAACCTGACCTCCCCGGCAGCACCTCCCAGGGCCATGCCGGACGCATCTGCACACACGTCAGGGTCCAGCTGCCAGGTGAACAGCCCCTGACATCAACATGGGCTCGCTTTGCCTGACCAGTGATGACTGACCAGAGGGGCACGCTCCCTCACCCGCCCGCCCTGGAGCCCACAGGCCAGCTTCCCGTTCAGCTTTAGGTTGAATGTTTTATTTTACAAATACGTACAGTCTGTGTGTAAAAAGGCAGTTTTCAGTAGCAGAAAATCCTGTTTTGTAGTGTGGTATTACAGTTACCAGGACATAAAAAAACATGTCCAATCAGAAAACAAAGCATCATAAACAAAAGCAACTCCCCTTTGGCCTGAGGAAAAGTTGGCAATTTTTTTTTTCCTTCAGAAGTCTAACCTGTAAGGCAACTGGTTTTGAAACCTTTACAGCACCCGCGGGTATCGGTGCTGGTGTAGCCTGGACTGGCTCTTGAGACGCAACCTGGGAGCTTCTGTGATTTCCCCTGGGAAAGGGACTCAGGAGAAAGCCACAGACCTCAGTCCACTTACTGTCCTGTAAGTGGACCGTCAATACGTTGCAAGCCGCTCAAGGCTGGTGATGGTCTCACTGTGGGATGTACAAAGCGTAGCTACCAGGTGACAGCAGTTGGTAACTACGTGTAGTAACAGCACGTCCAGGTCAGGTTTCCCGCATCCCTCCTTCCGCAGCCTTTCAGAGAGACGTAAGTGAAAACTGCACCACTCAGCTGCTGTGAGGACTTAAATCCAGCTGACCCCTCACGTGGACAAGGCTCCTGTCCCGAGCGGAGCTGCCGGCCATGTGTGCGCAACCTCAGTGGGTCTGCAGACCAGGCCAGTATGAAGCAGCACCGGAGATGTCACTCAGGCTGTCCCCGGGAAACACCGGAGGCAGCCCTGGGCTTGTGCAGGGCACCTCTGTGAACTCGTGGTCCATCCCGAACTGGTGTTTGCTTGCTACTGTCCAAAGTTTCCGGCAGACATTAGTGTTTTAACCTAATTATTGCACATATTCTACATGCTAAGTGCTACATATTTTAAACAAATTTTTACATGGAATATATATATATATATATGATACCCTAGAGAATAGAAAAGTGAAAATGCATGATTATTTAAATAAAGGCCCTGCCCCTTAATTGCTTTCCTTTGTAACTGTTTGTTTCCAACTTAACCTTGAAAGAAAATAAATACTCTCATAGCTTTGACTTGATGCTGTAAAGCAATGCTCATCAGCTTAGAATTACACTACTGGACAAAGACATTTTAAGAGTTCTACTGTGTACAGCCAGGTGCCTCAAGGATTTTACATTTATTGACTGAGAAGTAAGAGCATTCCGAGTCATAAGGGACAATTATAAAGATAAAAACTTACAAACTATATTATACTAGAATACAGGAACTGACACAAAGAAATCCTAATTAGTATACATAAAATTATTTATAGTTAAGTCTTAGAAGTTGTAAAATTAGATGACAAAAAAAATTTTTTCCAGTATCTCAGAGTATTCAAATAAAAAAACAAACCAAAACCTGCACTATTGGAAATGTAAAACTATGTAAACCTGAATGGCCCTTGTGTAGTTTGAATTCAGACATTCATATTTACAAGGGATTTAAAAAACCAATGGAGGCATTCATATTAAAGGTGCATGTCACTGATGCTTGATGATGAGGTGTCAGATGAGCTGTCTCACATGCGAACCACCTTGCAAGGCCCAGCACCACCTCGCCAAGGAGACCAGGCACAGAGCAGAACATGCCGACGTCTGCAGACTGGAACCCCACCCTGCACTTGAAGATCTGGGAGCAGCATCACAATGTTTACAGTTTAGAGAACACGCTAAGCCAGCCACAGAGCAAGTCCACGGGAAAGCCAAGGACAACCTGTGACCAACACTGCTCTGTAGTCTCTGATCCTTCACCCTCTGCCAGGCGGCTCTCCCCGGGGCCTGGGCAGCTCCTCTGTGCACCTGGCCAAGCAGGGACCACTAGGCAGCACCTACCCAACAGTCCACCTGAGGCCATTTAAGATGTTTCTTCTCAGCTACTTTCCAAATAGGAAACTGAAAATTTTTTGGCAATAAATAATTTTCTATTATATCAATCATTTGTTTAGTTTTACAAAAATAAATCTCCAAGGCCTGTCACTTTTTTAACAGAATTGCAGAAACCATTATTAAGAAATGCAACTGTCATCCTCTTCCCAGCCATCCAGAGACATCTCTTCCAATCCACAGCCGTACAGATGTGCTCGTCCACATACAGACGTCCTCATCCGTCCACGTGTACAGACGTGCTAGTCCATGTATACAGACGCGCTCGCCCACTCACGTGTACAGACAGGCTCGTCCATTCATGTGTACAGACAAGCTTGTCCATCCACAGCCGTACAGATGTGCTCGTCCACATACAGACGTTCTCATCCGTCCATGTATACAGACGCGCTCGCCCACTCACGTGTACAGACAGGCTTGTCCATCCACATGTACAGATGCGCCTGTCTGCTCACATGTATAGACGTGCTCGTCCACTCAGGTCCAGAGGAGCATGGTATCCATGTGTGTAGACTTGTGCCTCCATCTGTACGTATGCATGTACACACATGGACCCTGTAAAGATTTCATGGCAGCAACTTCTTGCCTGCCTGGTTCCCTGTCCACATTCCATGCTCAGAGCCCACACTAACCCTTCTGGTCCAGTGAAGGTCTTTAGGCTAGAGCCTGCCTACCCCCCACCCCTGGTCCCCATACTGCAGTTGATCCATGACAGGGGTCTGGTGGCCCAGCGCAGCTTCAGGGAAGGGCCAGCAGCCACAGGACAGACAGCTTCCTCCACTCAGGGCAGGAGTGGGAGGGGGACCCCACTGCAGACCTTAGCCAGTGGCCCCCAGGAACATGGAATGGCTAAATCATCAAAAACAAATGCACATAATTCTACCTACTAAAAATGGGTCACCGCCCCACTGCAGGAAACAGGCAACCTTCCACCTGAAGTTGTTAAAAAAAAAAAAAAAAAAAAGACGTGGCCATTTAAAGCCCTCGTTGGCATCTCCTGACACAGCACACACGCACCTGCAGAACCTTTGGCCAACAAATCAATGTGCCCTCATTTTGGTTTTAGTCTCTAACCTATGCAGACAGACAAGGAAGGGAAGTCTCGTTGCAAGACGGCATCTGGGTGGAGGCGGGCTGCGAGGCTCAGTCGCTGTCCGACTCCTCCTTGTACTTGGCCCGGATGGCCTGGCCATTCTGAAGAGGCATTTCTTCATAGTCACTCCTGTCAGGGGAGAGGCAGTGACAATACTGTCCCTGGCAGCCCCCAGTCGTGTTCAGTTCCAAGTCCACCTCAGAGCTGCACACTCACTCAGTTTTCTAGCTGCCCAGCTACAGGACACAGCCAGCCGAGGCCAGAACCATCGTCAGAGAGAACCAGTCGGTCTGTGGCCCTGACTCCCTCCAAAGCCCAGCAAAGAGGAGCCTGAGGGAGGTGGGCACCAGGCCTGTGGTTCCTCCCCAAACCCGTGGCACACGTAGGGAGAGGAATCCTGGCACACATGGAAAGGTGCTTTAGAATGGCAGGTGGCCTCCTGGACCCCGCAGAGCTGGACAACCATCCTCAGGGCGCTGGTGACTTACCCGTAAATGACGTCGTCGTCGGAGTCATTCAGCATGGAGAAGGCGGGGTTGTCTTTCAGCTGGGACTCTGAAAACGAGTAAAAGCGGGTTTACTGTGAGTGTCCCTGCGGTTAGCCAGGGCAGACAGGATGCTGCCTGGAGAAATGCTGGAGTCATCAGGAGCTGCATTCCCACCGGCCTCACTCCACCTGAAAACCAACCCACGACCACGTGTCAACCCCCCCAGGATCCCCGGCTGTCAGTCTCTCTGGGAGGACACCGTCCATCAGGAGCAGCCTGGGGATGTGAACTGTCCGCCTCACTAGCAGCACACACCTAATACACCACCATCAGGGCTCCGACAGCCACTCCCGTTCTGAGCTCATCTCTTCTACAAACTGGGAGCATGTTCCCCCACCACAGTGATGGGGTGGAAGGACCACATCCCCCACTGCAGTGTTGGGGTGCAGGGAACACATCACATAGCATCCCATAACAGGGATGAGGTGCAGGAAGTGAATGTGCCTCAATAACAGGGTCAGGGTGAAGGGACCACGTGCCCCTTCCACAGTGTTAGGGTGCAGGGAGCACATCCCCGTTACAGGGTCGGGGTGCAGGGAGCACATCCTGTTACAGGGTCTGGGTGCGGGGAGCACATCCCCATTACGGGGTCGGGGTACAGGGAGCACATCCTGTTACGGGGTCGGGGTGCAGTGAGCACATTCCCATTACACTATCGAGGTGCAGGGAGCACATCCTGTTACGGGGTCGGGGTGCAGGGAACACATGCCCTTCCATAGTGTTAGGGTGCAGGGAGCACATCCCCGTTATGGGGTCAGGGTGCAGGGACCACGTCCTCGTCACGGGGTCGGGGTGCAGGGAGCACATCCTGTTATGGGGTCGGGGTGCAGGGA